GACGGCTTACTGGCGAAAGTGAAGACAAGCAGGCAAAAAGGTCTTTTATCCAAACTACTCCTTTTTTTCTGAGCTGCCACTGGAAGGTGATACCTATATTTAGGGTGGGTCTTCCCAGTTTAAGTAATCCCATCAAGAAAATCCCTCCAACTGTGCCCTCAATTTCCTTTTGCTTGAACCCAGAGGCAGCCAATTTGACAATCAGAAGCCTCATAGGGTGCAGCAGTATCTGGTTCAAATGTATCCGTTCTCTGAACACTTCATGGGCTCCTGAGCCTGGTTAGACCATGCCATGCCTTAGTACCCGTCACTCAGGAAACGGCATCTGGGTTCTTTCTCTCTGTCGGGCCCCTTGTCCTGGACAAGAGAATTTTTAGGCGACCAGTCTAAAATTGACAAAATCTGCATACCATTCCAACCGTGGAAGTAGCCAGCAGAGGAAGTCAGCATTCCCCATTGCTCTCTGATCCCCGTCAGGGAAAATTCCAGAATAAGAGCCTCCCTACAATGAACAGAAGGTAGTCACAGGGAATGTCCTTCTTGACACACTTAAATATTACTTTTGGTTATGTGAGTTGACCCAGAGCATGTTTTAAGTATATCTTTTATATATGTTTTGAATGTGGTGAGATTACTTAAAACAGACTCGGTGATTTTTCAAGCACACAGTACAACTATTGTTTGACTCTAGTCTCTTCCTAATTCTTGTGCACCTGTATGACAAACTTGCTAAACTTCTATCTAGTTGAAATTTCAAATCCTTTGGCCAATATTTCTCTAACAACCTCACTCTGGTCTGCTTTCCTCTGAAAACTGCTCTAGATTTTTTTTTTTTTTTTTTTTTTTTTTTTTGGTAAATGTGAAATGAATATCTTGTCCTAAAAAACCCAGGATTGTATATCAAGAAGGAATTAATTAGTCAATTAGGTAGACACACACACACACAGAGTTGAAATTTTAGTGAGCATTCCATGACTGTAACTATATACTTGAGATAGTCTGTCGTGCCCAGATTTCAGGGTCACTAAAGACCACCAGGAGTCTGAATCCATATGCCTAAGCAAAGAACGTTTATTCAAGCTTAAACTCTGCAGATTCCTCCCACGCGGTGGTTTCATGCTGAGAGCCCTGAACCTCAGTTAGGCAGGGTTTTTTAAATACTAGTTGGAGCAAAGAACATAGTTCTCCAGCTTAACAGTTACCTTATTTAGTAAGGGGTATCTTGGTGCACTGGGATTGGTCAGTGATGACTTCAGAGCGCTTGAGCAATTTATCTATAACCTTTGAAATTTTAGGCACTTTTCCTCTATTTCCTGATTGGCTCAGGTCCAGAGCAGTTTCTTCCTGGAATTGTTTGTGGCATTAGCCAAAGTTCAAACTGGGAACAAGAAGGCTCAAGATGGAGCCAGCTTACAAATCAGAGTTTCTTTCATTGCCTCTGTTCCTCGAGTCAACATAAAAGGAGAAAAGGTTTATTTTCTCTGGTTGACCTGTTGCTTTGGGTTCATCGTACCACAGTGTATCAAAAAGGAAGGATGTGGTGTTGGTGGCGGCAGTGCATTCACCTCATAACAGTAAGGAAACAGAAGAGGTGGATCCAAACATGATTGTAATGCGCATGCTCCCAATTTCCTAACTTCGTCCCACTAGATGCCAACCTCTCTCATTCCTCCACTACTGTCCATTCATACCATAAAACTCATCCTTTAACACAGAGGCCTTTGGAAGACACTATAGCCCAAAGCAAGCATGAACTAGTAACCAAATAACTCAGTCCTTTATTTCTGTATTTAAATTGAAAGGCAAAAGTCCACAGGGGCAATTTATTTAATCCAGGATCACCAGAATCTATTCTTTGACTCTTACAAATCTGCCTTACAGGCATCCCTCTTCTCCTTTCCTCCAAACCATATTGTTTGAAACCAGAAACTTAAGCCAGGACCTCTTCTTGCCACTTGATCAGATAGTCTGGGTGTGGCAGCTGGGCATTTGCTTATAGCAGTGTCAGATCAGCAGGGGCTGAGAAGCTGCACTGCTCAGCAAAGTCAGATTCTGGCAAGAGGCACAGCATTCAGTGGTTCAAGCTTGGTGTTGAATTCTTTATAAATTTTGGATATAAGACCTCATAATGGTCAGGGGTGTCCACTGACACCTTCCATCCCAGTACATAGGAAGCAGTTGGATTGTCATGAGTTTGAGGGCCAGCCTGGACAAACATAGTGAGTTCTAGGCCACTCAGCACTACGAAGCAAGACAGTGCAAGAACAAATGTGAAAGTGGTTTCAACAAATTTTCTCTCATTATATAGGCTCTCTCCATCTTTGGCTTATTGTAGAGTTTATCAGCTTGTGGGCCTGTTCTAGTTTGGTTTCTGTAGCTATGATAAATGCCATGACCAAAAACAACTTGCGAGGAAAAGGGTTCATTTCATCTTACATCTTGGAGGTCACTCTACCGCTGGAGGAAGTTAAGGAAGCTCACTAGAGGAAGGAGCTGATGCAGGGGCCATGGAGGAATATTGCTTACTAGCTTGTTTCTCATGGCTTGCTCAGCCTACCTACTTATACAAGCAAGGACCATCTGCCCAAGATGTGACCACCTACAGTGGGCTGGATCCCTACATCATAAATATGAAAATGCCTACAGACTTTTCCTCTAGGCCAGTCTGTGAATGCACTTTCTCAATCGAGAGCCCTTCTTCCAAGATGATCCAAGCTTGTATCAAATTAACAAAAAATAAAAAAATAAAAAACAAAAAAACCATCAAAGAGCCCCAGCAGATGGTTCAATGATTCAACTTCTTACAAATTCTGTTCAGTTCAGTGGTGCATTGTGAATACACTTCCCTGTACAAGCATCCCCTTTCTCTGCTATAGTCGTTCTTTAAGATATTACTTCTGAAATACCACAGGAAGAGACTCCTGGTACAATGTATAGTAAATGAGTTCCTCCCTTTTTGGAGGTCCACAAGACATTAATAGCCTGGAAGGTTTCATATGGAGTCTTTAGCATCAAGATTGTTCTCTTTGGGTATGCACCTCTTAAGTGTGAGTTGTCTCACTTCCATCAAAAGGGAACTAAGATGATCCTGGGTTGTATAAGTAGGTAGGCTGAGTAAGTCATGAGGAAACAGGCTAGCTAGTAAGCAGCACTCCTCCATGGTCTTTGCATCAGCCCCTGCCTACAAGGTCTTTGCCTGGAGTTATCTGCCTTGACTTCTTTCAGTGATGGAGTATGAGCTTAGAGGTGTAGGATGAAATTGTAAGCTTAGAAGAGGCAAGCTTATGCTCAGTAAAATGACCATATACGAGGGTTGAACTGGAGCAGCCTTCCTATCTATTGGAAGCCTGGATTCCTTGCTTGCCTGGTCAATGCTATTTAGAGTACTCTATACTAAGTTGTTTTGCTTATGTAGTAAGCCAAGAATACCTGGCTGGTCATGTCTATTTCTCTTAAAGAGGCAGCATAACTCAGTTGCCTTTTCCTAATCCCCCCTTTCCTTGATTTTTTTATTGTATTATTTTTCATGTCTTTCCTGCTGCTTCTGAATATAGCACCATGCCTGTTTCAGAGCACAGGCAACATGTCTGAGTTGAGCAAACTGCAGCACCATGTTAATAGTCAGAGGTTGTTGGGCATTAAAATTGGCTGGTACACGATGAAAGTTAATACTAAACTTAGTTTAGGTTAACATTTTTCTGGAGTTCTGTGTATTAATTTGGGGTATAAAGTATTTTAATGTAAAGCTCACCTATACATTATATTCTTTTCTCCCAGCTAGCCTGACATGTTTGCTATGTTTTTTTTCATGTTCTTAGATATATAGGTATCCATTAATAGAATTATAATTGCATGTGTGTTGGAGAGAAATAGAGTTGGGAGATATTCTCAGATGGTAGAGTGGTCACCCAGGATTTACAATCCCCAGCAAGGTAGACAGGGAACAATGGCACTTGTCTATAATCCCAGAACTTTGGGATAGGAAACAGGAAGATTAAGATTTGTGAAGATTTTGGCTATATTAAGAGCTTGAAACAAGTTTCAACAACAAAAAATGGAGAAAAACTCAGGCTAACATCTAGTAGTATGCAGTATATTCTACTAACGTTCGCAAGGTAACACAGGGGCAGGAGGGTACAGCTGTGAGTATTCTTAAGACTGAGACATTTTCACTTACTTTGCTCTGGCTTCTGGTGATGGCCAAAGTCAGTCAGTTCTAGCAGACAAATTGACCTCTATCTCACCACAAATACCTTGGTTCTTCCCTTAGGACTAGAAGCTGTAGTAGCTAAGATCTGAACCAACTAGAAGCCTTGGTTCAGATCTTTTAAATCACTCTTATAGAAGTGATGGCTTCAGCTTTTTTTAGGCTTTGCACAGACCAGAAAGCTGCTCCAACCCAGAGCTACTTGACATTTTTCTTTTCTGTTTTTAATGACAGGGTCCCTTACATAGCCTAGGTTAGTCTTTAACTTGTCCTTTAACTATCTTTGGAATCCTGTGTGCTGTGATTTGTAGGTATGTATAAGACATGAGGACTTCCAGTTGGTGGTTTAAATCTAGACCCCTTGTGATCTGGCTGGCCCCCTAAAAATAAAAAAGATAAAACAAAAAAAATATAAAATCCTCCAGTGGTTCTGGAGGATTGAGGCTACCTGAAAACTAGTTTTCTCTGCTTGACACTTTTATGTGTCCATCCCAGAGTCTTATCGCGAGCTTATAAAGCTTGGTCAATCAATATTCGTTAGGTATACATATGTAACCACCCCCCTTGAATTGTATTCTACGAAAACATTGTTTTTTCTAGCTAGGAGAGTTAAATTAAGAGGGCAGCATATTACTCTTTGCTTGAGTAAGAGGAGATGCCCTTCCCTAAGTGAGAAAGGTAAGATGCTCAGATAGTCAAAGAGTTCATCTAGAATCAGACTGCCTTTCAAATGACAAACTCATCCAATGCTGGCAATGTAGTAAGTTTTATTGAGATGCTTGGCTTGGGCAATTCATCTCAGTTTTCTGATGGCCAGGTAAGATACTACCAAGATTCCAATGATGATCACAGTTGCAGAAAGTCCCATTACCCACAGAGCAGGAGAATCCATGGGGGCGCCTGTGGAGTGGGAAGGTGGGGTAGTATATGCTGAAAGAACCAAGCCGTTCTAGATCTTGACAGAGTAAGTAATCTGCAGAAGTGGCGGTTTTTTCTGAAGGAAAATACACACTGAACAGTAAGGAACAGGGCAAGAAAGCAACCTTTAAGGATAAGGAGAGTAATAGCGTCTTGCCATGTAGCACCGATTGCCCTTGACTGAGCAGTCATCCTCCTGCCTCAGCTTTTCAAGTGCTGAGATTACAAGCATTCAAGATTGTAATTAGCTAGAAAGAAGCTAACAATTTGACATCTTTCAACTCACTTGAGTGTCTATGAAGCATGTCTGCAGGGTCCTTAGTGGCTTGGAGGAAGATCACAGGGCCTTTGCTAGATATGCTGGTGGTGTTCTCAAAATAAAGCTCAGATTGTCTTCTTCCTGGTGGACAGACAAGAGCTTGTAATTTGTTGCAAATTTTCAGTTGTATACACGAGCCAAGGGTGAGGGGTAGGGTAATGTGCAAAGCCAAGTGCCTTGATACACACATCTCTGTCCCACACTATATAAAAACCTGTTTGTGTCTTAATATAAACCCAACCTAGTTAAGATTTTCTATTTATCTCTACAAAGTGTTATTTCTGTTTCACCATATTTGGATATAATCACATTCAATGACCACCACGGACCACACACAATGATCAACCTCTCCTAGAAAGGAGAACACTGAAACATTCAGTTACCTTTTTATTTAATAGATCATATGTTCAAACAGGAAGTGAGGACATGGCTGTAGTCATCCTACATCTATTTAGGAATTAAATGATCTGGAAAAAGTCAACCTGTTATCTTTACAAGTGGGAATAATGCGTATGATTAGAATTGTTTTGGATTATTGGGAGTTGACTTTCCTATATAAAACATTTAAGGATTCTAGAATCATGAACAATGATTCAAAGACTAGTTTTGTGGGAATGAATCAAGTAGAAGCATCTACATATATAAGGTGGTTTAATCCTGTATCTGACCAACTCCAGATCATATTGTGTCTATGATTCTTCTATCCATATACTTTCAGGACATATTGAAAACCTGCCTTTAGGTAGGTCCAAGACCATCTACTTTTGATATTAGGCCATATTTAAAAAAGGAAAGTTTGAGATATGGCTGAGGAAATAGGTCAGTCAGTAAAGTTCTTGCTATGCAAACATGAAGACCTGAGTTTGACTCCAGACCCCATGTTTAAAAGTCTAGATCTAATGCTGTATACTTTTTAATTCAGTCAGATGTTAGGCCATGGTTGGCTTCTGGCTTAATCAAATCAGTTTCTTTTTCTTTTTCTTTTTTTTTTTTTTTGAAAACCCGAGATTCTGGCAATCTGGTCAGCTCTGGAATCTATTGATAAGATGATCCCTTGGTTTAATGGCTGAGGCTAACATGGTACAGACTTCAGGATTCTCCTAGGTCTGAGATGTAGACAGCTTAGGTACTCACTCCTGGAAGCAGGACAGATTACCATGCAGGATGGCATCCCAGCAGGCTGGCAGACAGATGCACTGCAGTGCAGGAACACCTGATGTTGACAAACAAATGTCATGTTATAGACATCTTTCATATTAGACATCTCCTAATCATATACCTCATTCTCTCCAAGAAGTTGAAAAAGTGTTAAGAGCATCTTGATGTGCCTAAGTTAATGTCACAATTGTCCTGAAGAACCAGAGTCCAGTTGACAGGTGTGAGTCACATTCTTGGTACCACCCGAAACTGCCCTCAACACTGTGAGCCAGTATAAAAGGTCAAAGAGCCACCTTAGAGGGGTGGTGGGCCTTTAAGAACATAGAATGAGATGCTGTACCTGTCCACCTAAAACCGGCTTCTCCCTTACAGCACTCATGAAGCTGAAGGTAGAGATGCTGAAGCGCTGGTGATGAGACGGAAAGGAACCTGATGCTTTCTGGACAGGGATTCTTTTAGTCCGATAGTTATCTCCAGGATATGGGCATCTAAGCCAAGAGACACAGTAGTAGAAACGGGCTTATTTGGGGAACCCACTCATTCAGATACACGGGGTACCCACTTACCCCTTCACCAAGATTGGCCATTGTGGTTGATGAAAAGGAGTAGAGCCAGGTGTGGCCCAACATTGCTCTAGCAGCAGTCCCAAGGAGGGGTCTGTTCTGTGAAGGATGGAGACCTCCACATAAATAGGATCCTGGAGAAATTTTACCAGTGGGTAGGCATCAGCACCATAGTAAGAGCTATAGTTTTTATCTGCACAAAGAAAACTGGAATCAAAGTGGGGCTAGGGAATAACTTAGGTAAAATACCTGCCTGTATAAATATGAGGACCTGAACTTGACCTTCAGGACTCATGTAAAAAGACCAGGCTTGATGCTCTTGCTCACAACTTTAAGTCAATGAGAGATCCTCCCTCAGGAACCAAGTTTGATCTGAGGCTGTTCTCCTACTGACAGACTTAAGACTTCAGATTGGAATTAGCAAGTAGGCAGAGCTTACCCTTGGCAATCTGAAGTTCCAGAGAGAGGGGTCCAGGCTGGGTCTTAGGAAGGGGTGCTGGGCGAGCCAGCACTTGCATGTTAATTGGGGATGTGTTGCTGAGAATGGAGTAAGTACAGCTGACATGGAGCCTGTGGTGGGGAAAGCAAGATTTTAGTAGCCAGGGTGTGCTGGCCACACAGCTGATTTTCACTCCCAAGGATCAAGTGATGGACGTTTTCTAAGTCCATATAGACAGCAGAGGTGATTTTTTGCTCTTAGAGTTATTTTCTGTGGTCAATGTGCAAATAGCTCCAGTGTGAATTGGTGAGAAACACTACATAAGACGCAGGTGTGCTGCATCAGACCGGTGACAGTGCAAAGCAGATGAACTCCTTCCAGGTGAGGGGATATGAAAAATGAAAATGGCTGTCAAGAAGCCCAGGTGAAAGGTGCCCATGGAGGCTCTCAATGCAAGGATGAGCCTAGGATTGAGAGGCTGAGACCATTAAGTGTTTGGAGGGGAAAGGAATGTAGGGTCATCTCACAGGAGGGCAATAGTAGTAGTACTTTTTGCTTTGACCTACAGAAGTGAAGCTCAAGTATGAGAGCTGGCAAAGTTGGGACTGAAAGGCATTTTTTTTGGTCACAGTCTAGACAAGGGAAAAAGGAGGCTCAGATGAGGAACAAATCCACAATAAGGTAGAAAATAGAAGACAATGAGTATGAGGCTGAGATGGAATTGGGAACAGTGACCCAGGCGATCATAAGCAGTAGCATACATGAGTAGCAACCTAGGAAGCAGGTGGATTCACCTACTATTGAGAAGTGTTCTCCTGTGAGCTCAGTTTACCTTTATGAGAAAAGGCCTTCTGGCCTCTCAGGGCAAAACTGACTCTACCTGAAGTTGCTGTCTCGGGTAATAGAGCTGCTGCCCCAAGCTTGCACATCTCGAATGGCCACTAGCTCATTTTCATACACGGCCTGGTCTCCAGTGATCTGTATAATGGATAAAGAGATGCCTGTTATTTCAATCTGTTGACTAAATACTGCATCTATGTATGGCATATGCGTGACGAAGAACCAAGGAATAAGGAGATGATTTAAGTACTGAGACTGGGCAAGTGGACCTCCTGAATGCAAGTCAGCATCCTCCTGAGTACTCTAGGTCCCGGAATTATAATTTCCTCCTTATATTTACTTCCTCTAGAACGATAGGATCACAAGAGTCACAAGAGTCATTTGCTGAACATTCACAGAAGTGTCCACCCTATAAGCAGGGCCTTTTGTTCTAGAGACTGTTCTAGATACCAGGCAGTGGTCAGGACTATTTTTCATGCCTGTACTATCTCAACTTTTCCTCTCCCAATCAGCAGAGTACTGCTTCCACCCCAGTACCCCAAGGTGCTCTTCTTACCCGTCCTGTGGTCCCACAGGAAGTAAATGGAAACTGGAACAGGACAAAAGTGGAAGTTGTCATCACAGGATCACACCCACTGTTGTTCCTGAAGACCAAGCGTAGTGAATCCAAGCGCAGGGGTGGTGAGGTCGCATTCCTGGACACAGCAATGGAAAAGCGGCCCTCCCTGGTGCAACGGGAGGTCACTGGGACATCAGAGATGGGTGAGATCAGGTCATTCTTGAGACAGAGCCAGGTGGATATCAGGCTAATGACTCAGTTGCTTCAGATGCCCCCACAGCAAAGTTGGAATTCCCATTGATGATCTGGTAACGGGTTCCTAATGACCACTTGTTCCAGGGCCTCGCCAGGACAGGAGTGTGAGCACCTGCTTTGTTTTACTGATTAGAACTGGGCTCGCAGTGTTTAATGTACTAGAAAACCTTCAAACTTGATATGGGTGGGGTCTGTGAAAAAAAATCATCACTTGGGAATGATTCTCTCTAAACACAATCTTAGACTGTCAGCCACTGCAGTGACTGTTCCTTGGGAAAATGAGTTTCAGTTAGTAAGTACCTGTCACATAGACTTAATTTCCTAATGTCCCTGTATGTTTGACATCTAGAAGACTAGATAGTGAAAGACTATAGATTAGATAGTGAAAAACTATTGAAAGTTCTAGATCTAGCCACAAAATGATCACCTACCAGCAACCAGTTGCTTTGTATTTACACTTTGAATAAAGCTTTCCCTGCTCTGGTCTTACCAGAAGTCAGCCCCTTTCTCAGTTTATGTCAGAGATGGAAGCATGCACCTGTGTTTCCATAGTAACAGGAGCCCGCCTCTTCCTCTTCAGAGCTATAGCAGCAGCCCAACTCTTCACAGCCTCCTCTGGAGATGGGCGAGAGAGCACAGGGCAGCCTTTCCTTTACTGGCACATGGCTGCACACTTCAGCACTTGGTACATTTGGGGCTGGATATTAAGAAAGAAGAGGAGACTCAAGCTAGGCAGCTGGGTGGTTCATCCATATACCACCCTGTCACAGAGCCTGGGCTTAGAACTCCAGAACATCCAGACGGCCTCAAAAACCCTGTTGACTCTGTTCATCTGCAGATTACATCCCAAAAGAAAGTCAATGTTAAGTCACCTTGTCAGAGTCTCTCAAAATGGTTCCCATCCTGAGGAGAATGTCTCTCAGCATGTTGTAGGAGCAGTGGGGCTCTTCACATGGCCTTTCTGGCTCCTTAGAGGGACTTATCAAGCTTTGCCTCGAGTGTGAGATACCACAGAGCTTTTCAAACACAGGACTCCCAATAGGTTTTAAGTATAGCCCATGAGGATTTGAGTTTGAATCCAATCCTGATGAAAGGGCTCTCAGATCACCAGGGAAGAATTTCCTAGAGTTTCCTAGTTAAATAATCAAGTGTTCCTAGCTGAGGGTGGGTGACTGCAGGCCTAGATGATTTCTCTAGCTATTTCCTATTGCTAACTTGAGTTCTCTGCTCTTTTCAGAGGAGGTGCCTGGGTCCTACTGTGTTAATTCTCATTTGAATTCCAACTTTGCAAACCACAGGTGAAGCTTCTTGGTGAGAGGAGTGACAAAACTTATAGCCCTGGGTCTAGAAAGTAAGGTGCCAGGCTCAATCCACACCCAGCCTCAGCTCCAGTCTCCCTACAGTTAATTTTCCTAAGGTCTGACACAGAGGGAGGGAAAAGTTAGAAAATGTCCTTCTTAGCCATCAGCTGCTGCTGCTACCCAAAGGAGGCAGGAGTGGCCCAAGAGCACCTTCTAGGCAAGACCCTTCCTGAGCCCCAATGCTTTCTCCACTTACTGTGAAGATCCAAAGGGCACTTAAGCAGTTTCTCTCTTGTTCCTGTCATATTTCCAGCTACATCTACCTCTTGCATGCCAACCATCATGATGTACTGGGAGCCCTGAAGAGATGAGCAACAGCAATCAGCCTGGCTGATGGTAAGAGGGATCCTAGTGTCTCTTCTGGCTGGGGTCTACTTACTTCCAGAGTGACATAGCAGCCACTGTAGTTAGCTTCCAACACCAGAAAGCCATCAGGACTGTCCATCACCCACGTACCACAGTCAGAGTCATTCTTAAGCCTGTGTGGCAGCCCTTGGTTATCTAGGGCAGGTGGAACATCAAACGTACAGGGGTTAATCATCCATCAGTGGACAACCAGCCCCACCACTTGACCCCAAGGGACTTCCATCATTCAGAACAATACAAGAGAAAGTGGGTTTGGAAGTGGCCATTTTGACCATTCATTCTGTAGGCAGAGATTGTGGAGTTTTTGAAAGGAGTATTGAGATAGAAAGCTTAAAGGGTAGGTATTTCAATGAGTCTGACTTACCCCAAGCTGTTAGCACAGGATTCTCTGCCTCCAGGCTGAGGTTCACAGTAAACTGGAAGCTCTGTAACCCACAGTGGAGCACACCTGGCAACTCAGTCACATGCTGGCCACTCAAAGGAGGATAGAACGGGAAACAGAGTAAGATGCTTGGCAGAAGCCACAGAGTGCTTCTTAGAACCTGCCTAGCCATCCCGTCTCCTTCACTAGCCCACATCTGCTGAGAGAGTGTTTTGTATGTATATAAAGGCTTGGTTTGGGGTAAATACCTTTACAGCCTGCAGGTGGAGGGACTTTGGAAAGGATGATTTCTTTCTTCTGGGAACACAGTCTACAGATGCTTCCCATTAAATATTATAATCTCCTGGTCTCCAGAATTGGGTTGACATGTTCCTTTTGGCAAAGGATGGTTTCTTTTGTTAGCTATATGTAGCACTTGTTCTACCAGCTTGTCTTTAGAGGACAGAGACTGAATGCCTTCTAGAATTTTACATATTAGGGTGAGGATCCTAAATGCAGTGGCCAGGCAAATGATGAGTGACAGGAACTGGAAACTACCTCTATGCAATTTGGGTTTTCTATCTGGATAAAAAAAAAAAATGAGGATAGTCCTGACATTACTGCGCTTAAAGATTCTGTGGGAGGTTTAGATCAAATACATGGCACCATGCTTAGCCAAACAGGGAGAGCAGAGACAATGTCTTTGGGTTGAGATTAGCTTCTTTAAGGACCTCCCTTCCTTTCTCCTCTGGTTCATGCTTTCATAGGAAGTCACTTTGCAGTTGTCTTAACATTCCAAGATCACTTAAACCTGATTCCTGAGTCAAGCTGGTTTAGAACTTTGCCCTGGTATTCAGAGAGTTGTTATCATGGTTCTATAATCTGTCATCCCAGAACCCTGGACATGGAAGCAGGGGAACAAAAATATTCAAGGTCATATTTGGTTTCATGTTAAATTGGGTTCTTGTTTGCTCTATATGAGGCCATCTAAAAAAAACATACCCCCAAACTATTGAGGGAAAATTAGAGGATTATGTGAGCCAATTGGTAGCCAGGGAACAGGAACAGGAATCCATCTGTTTTCCTTGTGTCAGAGTGAGGAGTTTTCTGAGGGAAGATGGAAGCACCTCTGTGGGTTTTCTTTTTAAGAAGTCAGAAAGAAGGGCTATCCAGAGTCACATGGAGGTGACGACTCCAACAAGAGGCTCTTCTCCCTTCTCTCTGCACCAGGTTGGGTTGGGGGTGGGAGTGGGAGTGGGGTACTCACAGGATGTGCTGCTAGGAACTATTCTGTAGTATAGCCCTTGTTCCTTTCTGCCTCTGTCTCTGCTATCCTGTTTGCCCTCATCCTTGCTATCATGACTACCAGGGATGCAAATCTGTCCTTTCCCATCTTGGAGCCAGGAGGCCAGCTAGTTAGCCTGTCTTCTACAGCAATGTTTGTTTATATTAATCTCAATCTCTGTCTCTGCCTCTCTTTCTCTCTATCTCTCAGAAAAAGAGATGTAAATAAGAAAAGAGTAAATTAAATGATAAAGGAAGTGGAAGCTAAGTGTGGTAAGGATTTAAGGATAGCATAGTTGGGCACATGCCTTCCCTCATCTCTTAAGCTCATGTACTCACATGGGTGGATATGACTTTGCAGATGACAGCAAGTCTGAGCCCTATCAACCAGTGGGCTAGTGGGCTGTCTCCCAGCATCCCTTCTATTGTCATAAAAGTAGGCAATTATCATAGCTTCTAAATGTGACATTTAAAACACTCACAGGAAGTGAAAGACCCTTAACTCTAGAGAGTTCAAGCAACTTACATTATGGCTCCTGTAGACATGTTGGGCATTTCCTGCCTACTATTATTTCTGAAAGCCTGTGGTAAATTTCTCCTCTACTCTCCTGTGCAAGACAAGGAGGACATAAGCCATAAGCTTGATGGCCAGATGATTGGCATCTGGGTAGGCCTTTGATTGGCAGGTGTGGTTAAAACATGGCTCTGCTATTCATATGGTTGTGGGTGGTAATAGATGATTTTCTATGCATTTCCCAAACAATCATAGACTCTATTTGTTCTTTACCATTTTCTCAAAATCAAGCAGCTCTCTCTTTCCATGGCAGTGAGTTTTGAGAATGACAGCCCATTTCCCAGAGTACAAAGGCTATTGAATGCTGGAGAACAAAATAGAGATGTGGTGTCTAATATGTGAGATGCTAAGGTGTGTGCATGGGAGGGGGAGGGATTTGTGATTTCTTTTTGTGGTAGCTTAAGGCTGCCCTAATAAGTGCATCTCCTGGGAGATTCAGAACAACAGTTTGTTGGCATGCAGCAGAGGACACTTGAACCATCTTTGTAGACCTGTTGCTCTCATTTCTGGTCCCACATGCCATACTCCTTTTGTGTCTTCATTCAGTCCTCTATCTGAGTCTGTCTCTAAGTCCAAATGGCCTTTAAAAAAAATGTGGACATGGGTCATACTAGGTTAATATCTACTATGAGGATTTCAGTTTTTGTATGGATATGTTTAGAGAGCCTATTTCCAAATAAGGAAAGCCATGTTATAAGGCTCTGGGCCTAGGATTCAACCCATCCTCATGAAGGGTGGAGCTGTTCTGCAAACTATGACATCTCAAAGACTTGTAAACATACCAATCAAGCTAATCCTTTAGACTAGATGTGTGTGTGTGTGTGTGAAAGACAGAGAGAGAGAGAGAGAGAGAGAGAGAGAGAGAGAGAGAGAGAGAGAGAGAGAGAGAAAGATTAAAAAAAGTCACATTTCTTTGTTAAAATTCCCTTCCTTGCCTTGATTACACTAAAGGGATTATAATTTCTTTTTAAGGGAGGAGATCAGTTTTGCACCCAATGGCTACTGAGTAGGTTGGGACTAATGCTAGTGGTTAGTGATTTAGGACAGTTTAAGGATAGGGAGTTTGGGGAAAAGGTAGCCGTTGACTATGCTTACAGCCACTGTAATTTCTCACAGTTGCTCCGAACTAGCTGGAGTTCAGGGCAGATGTCTCAGGGTATCTGATACATCAGATGCCTTATATTGATATATTGATCCATCTTGTTCTCACGATGCACCTGTTTTAACCATGTTGTGGCCTTGTTTGTCTGGCCACATGCCTTTGCATATATATTCAGTCTCTTCTTTATGGCTTGCTGGTAGCCTTCACCTCAATTTGCCCTGTTTTTCTCTTTCTCTTGGGACACAGGTTCTAAAGGATCCATCCCTGAGATCAAAGCACCAGGACAACCTGGGGGCTTGTTAAAAATGCAAAATTTGACCCTTATTTCAGGTGATTCAAGTAGAAGCTGGAATGCGCTGGGGCTGGGTGTTCTAACTGCAGAGCTTCCAGGTGGTCCAGATCCTGCTCCACCTGGAGGAAATGCTGCAGACGGCAGGGGTCAGCAGAAACTTCTCTGCAGGCCTCACCTTGTAGGACTCCCCTATCCCAGCCCCCAACACACAGGAGGTGGCTCCTTCTGGGTCACCTTTTCTCCTCAGCTTCTCTGCCCACTTGAGACTGGTTTTCTCTTTGAGACTGAGAGTTTGAAGATGGATAAAACTCCCCTTTATATCTGCCTTTCACTAACTTTATGTACTAAGACAATATTGGTTAACTAAGTAAATGATTTTCCCCTAAGTGTTTGCTTTTAATCCATTAGAAAATTTCATAAACAAAACAATCCAACACCAGAACAGCATTCTGGGACTGGGAGTGTAATTCGCTTGAGAGGCAGTGGTTGGCCTAGCATGTGTGAGGGCCCTTGTTTGATCTCCAGTACTACATACACTGGGTTTAAGGGTAGACACTTGTCTTTCCATCACATCAGAGGTGGAGGCAGAGGGATCAGAAGGTAAAGTTCACCTTAGGCTCCATAAAATGTTGGAGGCCAGATGAGGTTAAAGAAGATTTAAAAATAAACATACAAAATAAACACACAAACCAAATGATGTTGACAGTGTACTTGTGCTTTTCACACTCAACAAGGACAACCTGTTTCATCCTGGCATGGACAACTTAAGCAACACATGGGACCATGCTATGTCTTGTTCATGTCACTCTCCATCTGAGACTCTCTTCAGAGTTTTTGTTCTTTCTGTAGGAACCTAATAAAGTTGGCCCAAGGCACGAAGCCTGTGGAATCTGGATCCTGCTGCTTTCAGAAGCAGCAAACCATTCTATGACCTGAATCCAGGACAGCCTAGCTTCGTTATTTTACATATTACACCTGAGAGCTTTTGCAAGTTAGGTTAGTGCTGGTCTGCTCTGGGTACCCAAGCTTCACATACTCTATCTTTTTTCCTTATCAACTCTCGAAACATTTATTATATAAATGAGAATAAGTAAAAGACTTTCACCACATTTTTAACTTTTTTCCTGACTTTCTTGCATTTATCTTGTTAACAATTTAAAATTTGATTAAGCCTTAATAAACACAAAAGTGTCCATCAGTACAGTTTATATCTGGAGTTGATTTACTCTCCCATTTTCTATGCTGTCTGTATTGGCCTGTCTCCCAGTCCTTTGTTTTGGCTCATTTTTCTTCCTGAATTAGGCCTTTTAGGAATATTTCAGTAAGACCCTTGGGCCCCAAACTCTTTGAAAGCCCTAGGGCCACTGACATGACTCAACTTGAACAAAGTGTAAAGTAGCATGCTTACAGATTCTGAAAGTATACCCACAGTTAGCTCTTAGGCCTGCACCTGTGACTGGGGGAATTCCAGTTCAAAGTGCCTTGCAGAGCTTTCCTAGTAAGAGTCTTTCCTGGGAGCTGACTAGGGGCCTCTTCTGGGCTCCTTTAGTGAGTGGCAACCCACACCTGCTTCTTGCCTTTGTGCATACTTAAACCATTGTGGGCAGCCCTCCAGAAATGATGGAAATCATCGCAAGGGCAGATTTAGCTAACAGCTGCAGAAAACTCTGGTGGGTCTGAGATGAGAATTGGCTACAGCACTGGGTAATGAATGAGTCCAATCTGTGTAAGAGACTGGGGTCACGCTTGTTAGAGTGCCCCCCACTGTCACTGCTGAGAGCAAGGCTTGGGCAGGGATTTACCATAGCATTTTCAAAATGTCATTAGTGAAAAATTAATAATACAAAACACTTTTGAAGGGCCAAGGAGATCATCTCACTTTCAACAGCAAAGGACAGTTCTTGAAAGTCCCTCTTGCTTTCTTTTTCAACAAGCAGAAAT